GACCATAAATCTTGTTTGTGCTGGACGCTGAAATTAACCAGGCAACACCAAGATGAGAAGTAAATTACACGACAAACGTAAATTTGATTTATGGTAATTATGCTGCAATAAGGAAGCTGGAGCTGCAGTGTGCATGCAGACTGTGACAGTTTCACCTGACACCAAACTCATACATACAAATGAAGCTATTCTAAACATAGAATGTGAACAGAGATTTATGCACCATGCAAACAGATAAGCCAATAGTACATGGCTGGTTGCTTTGGACCAATTAATGTGTGCAACACCCATGAACATACACATGCTGTATGCATATAAAATATACTGTATGTTAGCGATTATCATAACCTCAATTACGAGTTCAAACCCCCAATAAGTGACCCCTCAATCTCTTAAGACAATGTATGTGGGAATTGTTGAATTGCACTTTAATAGTATCACAAATAATATGCAGTTGTGCGTGATATATGAACACAAACACCTCATCATCAAGATTTATGCACACAGAAACCTGCAGGCTGATTGAATTTCACATTAAAACACGGAGCTTAATGACAGGAAAAACAACCATATTATATACTGAAGCTAAAAGGTATAAATATTGTTTGAACGAATGCACATCCTTGATAACACATACACCAACAAGATAAGTATTCTGCGCCAGGAGGCCGGTATAGCAATGCACGTTAATCACAGAGTTCATCTCATTTCCTCCCCGCTCTCCTTTATCACTGGCTCTGTTCTTATTCGTCTTCATAAGAAAGCCGAGGAAGAGGAGCCAGCTCCTAATAGCTCGCTGATTTACATGATGAGTGTTTAGCCTTATAGACAAACTCCTGGGAAAGGGGACAGAAGGGTCCACACCCTTACACACACACACACACACACACACACACACACACACACACACACACACACACACACACACACACACACACACACACACACACACACACACACACACACACACACACACACACACACACACACACTCCGAGAAATGTAATTTGCTTTCTTATTGCTAAGACTAAGAATTAGGAGTAGTTAGGAGTAGATACACTCACACACATACATGCACTCACACACATATCTATACAAAAAAAAAAGTCACACATCAGTAGAACAAACAAGGCAGGCCCTGCAATAAACAGATGCGTTAGCGCTAGCGCATTGCTTTGCTTGTTTAGCGTGTAACTCAATTTGAAATGCTAACACTGCCATGGGCTCGGGGGCATACAGTGGCAGGCAAGCATCATCAGCGTGCTTCCTCACAATTTAACTCCCCTCTTTCAACACGGAGCAGTTGTGGCCTCATATTTTACACACACTGAATAAAATTAATTGGGCCTTTTTGGGTGCACATCATTTGCATGCTGGACCTGCTTTGAATTGTAGATGAAGAAAGAGGGTAGGGGATACCCTATATATACATATATGTGTGTGTATGTGTGTGTGTGTGTGTGTGTGTGTGTGTGTGTGTGTGGGGGGGGGGGGTTAATGTGGCTGCTTTGCCAATATTAATTAATTAATTAATGATAATGACCGAAATCTCTTCCATTAAAATCCATCAGCAGTTACTGATTGTTTGGGGGGGGGGGGCTTTAATGAGAGTGGAGAGGAACATAATGATTATATCGATCAGTTATGTAAATTCACTTATATATAGATTAAGGAAGGCAGGATTCACTTTAACCGTGGAAAAACAGTTATAGATTCATGAAAGTTCTTGAAAGCAGGATGGAACAATATGATATATTACAGTCAGAGGCTTGAGCCGAGCCCAGTTGTCATTGGCCGAGAGGCAGGGTACAATCTGGACTGTTCCCCAGTCAATCATATCGTGATCACAATATCTTTGGCTATGACTGCTTTATGACTGCAGACTACCCAGAGAAAGGAAAATGCCTAATGGGGGAATTGAACCAGGAACCGTATTGGTGTGAGGTAACACCACAAATGAGAGATTTGTATTAATTTCTAAAAGTGAATTCTGATGTGAATAAATAAAAGATTTGCTGCCAATTTCCCCATACATCCCTGGGCACTGTGGTCTGTCAGGGCTGCTCACTACGGCTCCGTTCACTCCCACTCTAGTCAATGCTTGTATTTCCACAGTACGCGATCTGCCTCCGGAGCATGCGAGCAGCTTTGCTCTGCTTTGTTTTCGACGGGGCTCGCTGAAAGAATGCATCAAGCTTAGCAGAACCAGGTCTTTCCAGATATGAAAAAAGAGAGGAGAGCGCACAGAGCATCCAGTCAATTTCAAAATAAACACAATATACAGACTCCTGATTGTGTATCCGATCACTTTATCAACATTATGTTAAAACAGGTATCGAATGAACAGCAAATCAACCTCAAGCAAAACATTTTGTTTTGCTGTTGTTCTCTTTATTGATGATTGATTTATTCCCGCACGATCTTGTAGTTCTCCTGTGATCTTGTGAACCTGTGAGTATTTGATGGTTTGAATCCAACCAATTGCTGAATTGTATCCACCCCCAAACTCACCTATGCACTGTCATTGCCTGGGGGAAATATGAGAAGTATGGCTAAAAAGAATGTTCATTGTTTTTTTTTTCAACACAATCTGTCCATACATTTTGCAAAAAGAGTGATACACATTATTTTAAATGCTGTCAATAGTGACCTCATACTAAAACTGTTCAACCAATTAAATACAAGAGTTTGGAGGAGAAAACAGTGATGAGGGCCACAGGAATTCTCTGATTTTACAGAGTGCGAATGCTGCACATTTATGTTAGTTGGCTGTCAAACATAACAGGTGGAACTCACAGCAAGAGCTCCAATTAAAATCAAAATCAACCTGCCGGCTTGTAATTGCTTTTCCGCCTCCATGTTGTGTGTGTTTGTGCGTGTGTGAAGTTGGAGCTAAATTTAAAATCAGTTCAAATTTTCACTGCCTCCTTGGATTATTAGAACTGTTTCCAGTGTTCACCCTTTTGAACTAGTTTGTTACAATTCCAACTGAACTTTATAGCTGTGTTTATGTGCTCGGATTAAATCTTCTACTTCCCCTTGTGAGTGTCTGTGTCACAGGGCAACGTGTCTTATTTCTCCTGTGGATACCTGAGTACTTTGTGTTACTGCAGAGATTAGACTGAGTGCCCAGACTCATCAATATCCATGGCTCCTGTATTGCTCACAAACACACACACACACACACACACACACACACACACACACACACACACACACACACACACATACACACACGCGCACACACACACACACGCACACAGTGATAGAGTGAGCGGAACAGACCTGACGCTCTCACTCACCGGTAAATGGCTGCACTGATGGACTGAGGCTATTTAGACACACACTCACACACACACACACACACACACACACACACACGCACGCAGTCTCACACACTCAGCTGGTGATGGAGTGAGGCCGTTCCCTTTCCTCACCTCATGCCCAGTCGCTGGCTGGCAGCCCAGTGTAGACTTGCCAATTGGTCCTTCCACCAAATCAACCACACAAACTTTTCTGATGAGCTCAGTACAGTCCACACACACACACACACACACACACACACACACACACACACACACACACACACACACACACACACACACACACACACATGCACACTTTTTCTCACACACAGATTCACAGAGTCAGTATTGATTCCCCCGGTAGAGTCCTGCTAAGCACTTGCTCCCCAGTTCACACTTTTCAGACATTTCATAAGTTAGTAATTCTTATAGCATGTGGCGTCCTTTGTCACTTGACTTGCCCTTGGGCTAACTTAGACACTTAAATTCTCTCCTCATCTCATCCACCAATTTTGATTATCTCGCTGAAACGATTATACTGTAGATTAATATTTCATTATCCTTATGATTGCTTACAATTTTATGATCATGTAATGATTTCTTGTGGACTTAGGTCATAATAAGAAGAATACAGACAAGTTTTCTTCTTATTCCCTAAATCTTAACTACATGAAATAGATTTAATTTGACATCTCATTACTTCTTAATATTACGAATTGGTATATATGTATGTCTACATTGGTAGATGAAAATTGAAATTGAAAGTGCAGTGTAATTTTCAAATTAAAAGCCTATTTGGACATTTCTGTGGAAAAAATGTGTTTGTTTGTACAAAATTATTTTTTAAATTAGAACTTTAATTGAAAAACAAACAAGGTAATAAACATGTAGGCTGTAAGTACATTAAGTAAATAATTAATTCATATTTATGTTATTACAGTCTCTCTCTGTCCCTGTCTTTGTGTCCTCATTGAGCTTGGCAAGTTGTTTTTTCCCCGTAGATCTTTTTCTGATGAGCCTGATAATATGTTTACTTTATTTATATTTATTGATTGAGAGTTACAGCAGATCACATGCCTCTTTATCATTTACTGTAAATGATAGCCTTATATCTTAATAGGGCATTCCTAAAACCACAAAAATAGAAAAATGTAGACAAAATATTACTTTATGCACTTTATTTAGGTACTTTATGAAGAAAGACAGAGCTGAAAGCAAGGACACCCAGCCAACACATGCGGGCTGTGTGAATGCCATGACGGCACATTCTCCCAACAACACGCGCCGCAGCTGACTCTCATCTTACATGTTGCCAGTGTATTAAGGCTGTTACTGTAAAATGTATCTTTCATGATAGAATAATAGACTGACAGTGACTTACATGATTTTTGTGTCCTGGCATGACAGCAAAATTACAAAAAAAAATTGCCTGGTAAAGACAGAGTTGCCATTTTTATTTTCCTTATGCTCTGAAATATAGGAATCATTTTCATTCCAGCAGAAAACAGATTTTGATAAAAGACCTGGACAGTGGGATGCTGGTGGGGCAGTGGGGCAGTGGTAAGTGCGCGTGCCCCATGCCGAAGCTGTAGTCCTAAGGGTAGGCGGCACGGGTTCGAATTCGATCTGTGGCTGATATCCCGCATGCCGTTCCCCACTCTCTCTCTCTCTCTATCTCTCTCTCTCTCCCTGGCCACTGTTCTATCTCTCCAATAAAGGCACAAAAAGCCCCAAAAATCTTTAAAAAAGAAAGACCTGGACAGTAAAATAAAATATCTTAAAACTAGGGCTGGGCAACGATTCAAAGTTTTAATCGCGTTAATCGCATGAGTTCCTGTGATTAATCACGATTAATCGCATTGTTATACGCAAAATCCAATAATGAATTCAAAAGTAGTGTATAGCGCACTTTTATTGTAAATGTACTTCTCAACTTAAACAATGTAATCAAAGCAAATAAATACAAAACTAAAGTGTATTGCATTCCTTGCAGTCTGGACACAGAGTGGTGTGGGTCTCCTCTCTGCTCTCTGACTGCAGTTGGGTCTGCTGCGCGAGGCTACACTGACAGCCTGTGGGTGCTTTTTGAAAAAAGTCTCCAATAACACCAGAAAAAGTCACTAGATTTCTCGCTAGTAGCTGTTGACAAAAAAAGTCACCAAGGGGGTTTGGAAAGTCGCCAGATTTAGCGAGAAAGTCGCCAAGTTGGCAACACTGTTTCCTCTTTCCTGTGAGCAGACATGCGCAGCAGTAAGGCAGTAAGGCCTACATATGAGGCTCGCTTAAGATGGAATTTTATAAAATAAAAGCCAGTGAGCAACAGACTTTTACAATAAGAAAATAAATAATAAAAACTGCGTTAATGCGAGATCAAATAATTGTCGGCGATAATTAATTAAAGAGTTAACGCGAAAATAACGCGTTAACTTGCCCAGCCCTACTTAAAAGCTATTCTATAAACATTAGAGAAAAATCGTAGACTTGGGAGCATCACGAATGCTCTTTCATTCTTTGCAGTTGTGCGAGTCAGTCACGACTATTCACTACACACCACACTGTCCCGAGGCCAACAAATAAAATGTTTAAAAGCCCTTATCAAATGCAGTTTTTCTGACTACATGACAGTCCATGCCTTAGTTCTCTAATAAAACTGTATAATATATAATCTAGAAATATCATGAAGACCAGGCCAAATACCTGTCCAACAGAAGATCATTTTCATTTCCTCTCAGAAATTCCGTTCTACATTCTAATCCCAAAAAGACCATTCAGAAAACTGTGCAGGCTTTCTTTTGTTGCTTCCATACTTGCTTCCTCTCCCCGTCCTTTAACCCCACCTCTCCACCCTCTGCAGAGGTGTCAGTCCCTGGGTTCGGGGGTTATTCTCAGTGGGAGCGTAAGGTGACGTCTCACCTTCTTATTCTGGAGTCCTAGACATGTTTGTGGTCTTGTTCTGGCTCATGCTGAGGGTGCAGGGGCCCAGGTGTCTCCAAGCACCACTGCTCCTGCTAAAGATGTAAAAAGCAGCATTGAACATTCAGAATCAGGGGGAGTGTACTGCTTTGCAGGACGGCATTGTGAGTAAGATTGAATGAGATGTGGTCCTGTGCAGCCCAGTCTGCCTGAGGAACCTTAAGCTCCATAAACTGTAATGGAAGTCTCCTTTATTTGAGTCACTGTGTCGGTATTATCTTCTTTTGCAAGAACATATTCATTATTAAGTGTTGACTTTGATATCCTGATATAATGAATATGGATGAAGTATTTTATTTGCATAATTCATCTCTAATAAACATTAAACAGACAATGTATGAATCAAACAGTGCTTAATGAAATAGAAATGTGACATAATAGCTCTTAAATCATTCAAAGTAACAAGCTAGATTGAGACAGACAGCTTTCTTTGTCTCCGAGCTTTGTTGTGTGTTTGTATTGTTACACAGGCAAACGGGCATGCACACTAAGATATAAAAGCATGCATACCTATTTTTATTCTATAAAGTATATCATGTGTACATGAATGTTCTTGTTTTGTGGATGTGTAGAAGCAATGCTCTACTTGTGTGTCTATGTGTGGGCCTCAGGCAAATTTGAAATGAAGCAACTTTCACTAGACGACGCCCCAGGCTAACTTAATATGGGCCTCCTTTGACACAAACACCCTCACACACCCCACACCGGGGCTTGATGCTGGGTTTCATATCCAGTTTGTCAACAGGATACGACCACCCACCAGCTCTCTGCAGAGTGGGAGGTTAAGTTATATCAGAGCCCGCCTGCACCGCTGAACAATTCAACCACGAGGATCTGAGTGCTCCAACCCTCACAGTGTGGTGCTGAGCAGTAGCTCTACCATCCAAAACCATTTTTCAAAACATGCAGGTTGTGTTGTGTACAGCGCTGTACTTAAAAACTGTTCACAGTTAGTGTACCTGTCCAAATAGACCAATGGTGGCTCCAGGCAGGTAGCTGAGAGCCACACTGCAGTCTGCTGAGGCTGAGAAAAGGAGGAGTCTATCCCCATGGTTACACATGTCAAGGTGAGTGACACGATCAAGGTGTGGTCGGAAAGCACACAGGAGTTCTGGAGGTTCTCTGGTTGTTGCATCATCTGAGACAAGGCCATAACGCTGAGGGACAAACGAGAAAAGCATTGGATTATTTCATCTATGTTTTGGATGTAAGAACACCTATCCACTTCTCATTCCTGTTGATTGGTTGATTTCACAGAGCTGATTAGCTAGAATGACTGTTTTTGTTCAAGGTCAAAGTCAAGGTCATTATTCTAAATGATAACGTGAATCTTTAGCTGTTTTAATATATGCACCTCACAGCTGGAGACTATCCCTGTCAGACGGGGGGGGGAGACTCCTGAAGTAAGACGTGATGTAAAAAAAAATGATGCGGAAGTAGCGGATGAAGCAACAGAGTCCACTATACGATGCTTTATTGAGAATATTTTGTCTTTATATTATTGCTACGTGTAGTTAAACTGAATCACAATGTCAACAAAAGAGCGGAGAAGAGCGTACTGACAAAGATAAATTACTACTATTTCCAAAAATATGCAGCATGTTTTAGTGTATATGACATGATTGGTAGCTTTGTTTGGCATGTTATGTAAAAGAAGTAGCATAATCTACTGCATCATGCCATGGTGTGACCTGATACTGAACTTTGAACTGCAAAATTCCTGGGTCTAAGAGCACAACACCGTATACTGTGCAATCATGTTAGTCATCCAGCTGATTCCAAGGCATGCGCTAAACTTGCCGCAGGACAAGATTTCTACCAGAGCACTGAGCCTGTCCAACTTCCTCAACTCTGCTACATCTCCATAAATTAAACTGGAAGCCAAATGAGACGCACCCATTTGAATTCATCCCCTCTTATAAACTGTGACAGAGAGTTGAGCTGTAAATACTGTGGCAATAATACCCAAGAGGGTGTTCTTTTACTGCAATTATAAGCATGACAGTGATGCAGCTATATGCCTTATACTGATGCGGCGATCTAAGTCTTTATGATCAGAGTCAGAAAGTCAAAGGGCTCTCTGAGGTGTCAGAAACTCTTCGGCAACCAAACATGTTTTATATGTAAAGTGTGTGGACTGAATCTATGATCAGCTAATGTGGCAGAAACTTTACTTTGGTCTTTCATCATAATGTCCTCTCCTACTGCTGAGTAGATGTCACAGTAAATCACAGTCACGGTGCTCTTACACACATTTCAGGATGTATTCCTTGTTTAAGGGCGGCTGCAAATTGCAAACATGTTCGAGTTGATTAATTCAAATTGCTGTAGAATTTGCAATAAAACAAAGGAGTGAGGACACTACTTCCTGCTGTTGATATCAGGGGATTGACTGGTCTAGTTGTGCTCTATCGATCTAAGGGGGCATCAAAAATGACGGACAGAGATATTATTTTCAGAGTGGATGACATGCTTTATTTATTGGTGATACTGAAGGTCACTTTATCTTCAGTGTCTCTTGATCTCTGTCCACTCTGTCTCTGTCTTCACATTTTTTCATTGCAGTCTAAATCACTCTGTCATTTCATCTTATATACAGATAGTACATATGTAGCAAACACCTACCTGTATGTCCCATGTCTTGAGTGTCCCTTCGGAGTCAGCTGTGACTAAATATTTTCCACAGGGGCTCACATTCATAACAATAGAGCCCAGGTCTTTGCTATGAGCTGTAAACTGTCCCACCAAGCGGCTGTGGGTGGTGCTCCAGAGTCTGACCACTCCTGAACCTCCGCAGGATATTAAGTCTGCACCACCTGAAGGAGATGGGGGAGTGCATAAGTGCCATGAAAGAGCTGGGTCTTTAGCTTTTTCTTAGAGGTGCAAAAGGACTCTGCAGATCGAATGGAGTTCGGTAGTTTCGTCCACCACCGGGAGGCGACAGAGGAGGAGAGTCTAGCTAGATGTTTAGGGCCCTTTTGTGAAGTTTGGACCAGATGCCTTTCATCTGCAGAGTGTAGTGGGTGGGAAGGAGTGTATACCTGGATGGAAGAGTTTAGGTAAGGAGGAGCAGTTTTTGTTGCCGTTTTGTAGGCAAGCAGCAGGGTTTCAAATTTGATGCGAGCAGAAACTGGAAGGCAGGTAGGTTAAAGACCAGTTGAGCTGCTGTGTTTTAGATTATCTGCAGAGGTTTGATTGTGCATACAGGAAGACCTGCCAGTAAAGTTCTGCAATAGTCAATGTGTAATACTGTATCACAAGAGCATGTACCAGCAGCTCTGTAGATTTTTTTTTTAAGTGATTAAGTGGCATTAAAGGTACACATGCATAAGCCATTAAGAAGTGAGAAAGCTCTCATAAAGTAGAACAAAGGTGTCTACAATAGGTGTTTCAGGGTTTTCTGTACCATTTGCAGAAGAAAGGCCTCCCTTCAACACACTTATCATAATTAAAACCACAAAAAATCTATAGATATCTTTGGAATCACGATGATGTAAAACTGGTATCATATTGGGAGTGAGAGAATTTATCAATAAAAAAGAAGGTCTGAAGTACATTTAATATGTAAACACAACACACAGAATAATTCACTAGTTAGTGTTGGTGTATTTGTAACTGTGTATTTTCCAGTTAAAAAGCAGGACTGTGTTTGTATCTATCATGTAAAAAAGGCTTTAATTTGTCAAACTCTTCCAAGTCTCTAAAAAACTTCACTGTGTTTGCACATCTTTAATTTTTCTAATCGCACATTCTCTACGAGAACTGCAGAACAAAAAAAAAGGACACGTTTTCATTGCTGCAATAAAACTGGCATTATCTTTTGGATGTGATGAAGTTACAGAATTTATTGGCGTTAAAAAATAGCTGGTTAATAAAAAGCAAAATAGCGATGCTGTCTAACAGTACTCAAACATGTTACTGTGTCCAATAACTCAAAAGCTATTTTAGTAAATAACCAGCAGTCAAAGTCTGATAAGGATTACAAAGTAGCTCAGTTTATATGTCACCTGTTGCAGCAGCTGCAGATGAGCGTCCTGGTATGAAGATCAATTGAGAGATGGCAATGGAGTTATCAGAGTCTTCCTTGCTGTTCGCACCAGGATGAGAATCTGGGAAATTGCCAAAAACAAAAAAAATAAACATAAAAAAATATGAGAGTAGTGAAGAACATGCAGAGGGGCCTAACAGATTTAATTTGAATTAATGCAAAGAAGTAGTGTACATTAAATTTCTTCACATATGTGTGTTAAAAAATGAGAGCTAAAGCCGCGTCTTCTTGCCTTCTCGGTGTGGACGCAGTTTCCTCAAAGCTGTTTCAGTGCTGTTGTTCCACACTATGATTTCTCCGTCATAGCTTCCTGCACACGCCAGAAGTGGGACAAAACAAGAACTTGTGATGAACTCTTAAAATGGCACATTTACTTTTTCTCAAACAAGCATTTGTATCAACTAAGACATGACAGACAGAAAATATTGTTCATGAAGAATAAAGACTTTCTTTCAAAACAGCCTTTCGTTCATTTGTGTCTTTCCTTATACTGCTGAGTCATGCAATCCAGCCATTAAAACCACTCTTTAGATAATTAAAGTCAACATCTGTCCCCAGCTACCATCTGTTCCAGCACTCAAGCCTCAGTATGAACCTCGAAAGAAAGTGCTTTCCAAATGATCCTTATTATGTATAAGATGTGTGAGCGCTTGTGGGTGCGGAGGCTAGGTATAGCTAGGTGGTTTGACAGTTGAACAGCAGGTGTTAATGAGAAATGTGAGGAGGCTGTTTGCTATGGGAGGTGTGTATGTGTGAGCAAAAGAAGGTATAAAGTTTATGAGAGTGTGGCTCGCTTGCATTATTCATGCAGCCCTGGGCCAGCTTCTGTCTGTATTGCAAGTGACTTTTATCATACCCTGTGTGTGCGTGTGTGTGTATGTGTGTGTGATTATCTGTGAAACCGTTCAGGTTTACCTGTAATAGTTATTGACCATTTTTTACATAAAAATGTTGTTAATTTGCCTGTCAGCCAATGAGATCAGAGTATTCCCCTTCTGTCATTGAGTTTTATATATATATATATTTTTAATGCCGCTGACGTCCTTACCTTGTCCCTGATCAGAATGTGATTCTCATTTCTAGAAAACTGTCACATGTTTCTCTTGTAAAGAAGAGTAAGTAACATTACGCTCTTTTGTTTCTTAATACTTTAAGAATGGGGCAATCTTCAGCAGCCTTAATCTTCTGTTGGCGCCTTGGCTTCTTTGGTTATTTTTTATTTGAATCATTTTGTTTTAAATCTTGTTTAGTCCCTGCAGGCTTCAATCTCCCTGAGCTCTGACTGCTCCTCGTCTCTGAGATGGAGCCAGAAAAATGCCCACATGTGGCCATGTAGCGATTCGTCCTCATTTTTTTAGTAATAAGCCTTTAAATGTTCAAAATAAGAACAGCAGTATTTAAATGCTTATTTGCTCATTTATTTAATGAGAGGTGTAGACAAACAACACAAAAACACACAAACACAACGTTCTCAGTATGCTGACAGAAAACGATCTGTACAGGCCGAGAGGGTTGGAGAAGTCAGATCAAGCCCGACCCGCTTCCTCCACAATGGAGGCTGTTTGGCCTCTGAAGGCTTTACCTCCTCCTCTTTGTCCTGCTTCTTCTCTTTCTGTTATTGGAGACATTCACACTGTCTCAGCTGCTGTGGACAAGGAGCCGGAGGCAGCAGAGACAGAGGAGAAATCTCTCATTGAGGTTAGTTCGACCTCCTCTTTGTCTTTGTCCTCCTGGGAGGATGTATGAGGGGGAACCAACTCAGTGGATGATGGAGAAGCTTCCAGGGCTCCATTAAAAGAGTCACTGGACTGTACACTGTAAAAACTTCTGACCTCCACCCGGAGAAAAGTCACAGGTTTTATCTGCTTTGGGCTTATAAAGGCCACAACTCGGCTCGGGCTCTGAGGACAGAATCAGATCAGGTTCAGAGGACAGAGTTCTGACGGCCTCTTCAGTCTGCACACTGATGTTTGTGTCTATTGATTGAAAGGAAGCACAGGAGGAAGATCTCATCCTCTCTTCTCTGGACTCTGGACATGATAAGGAGTTAGTGGACATGATGTCTTCGCTGAGGCTGTCCCAAATGAGGGAGTATGTCTCGACGCTCTCCTCGTCGCTGGTGTAGAGGACGAGGGCTGGGGACAACTTCATCCTCAAAGAGATCATCATCCAGGATGTCTTCAGTGTCAGGGATTACAGGAGAGCTGGAGATGTCCAACTTGTTGTCTTCTGTTTGTCCAGAAATCTGTCACAGAAGCAGACGTGTTTAAACCTTTAGACACAAAGAAAAGTACTTCAAAACTTCGAGAATTTGAAACAAGTCAAACACTAAACTCTACTGATCAGAACTTTAAATTAGTCTTGTATTTGAATTCATCGCTCAACACTGTTGATTACTTTATCGAGATCATTCTGATAGTTAATTTTCAACTTTTTGTTCAAGACTTCACATGCGATGGATTTACTTCATGAGCATTTCTGAGTTTTGAACCTTGACTTTGGCTCCTGGCTGCATTCATTTTAACATGAGTTTGTATGTTTTTATGAATTTAAACAGAATAATTGAGTTTTCTGTTCTTCTGTTTGTTCAGATTTCTGTTTGTTCAGAGTCTGTATGACACCTGAACAGACTCCACCTGTCCTCTCACTGAAACTCACTCACTGCTGCTTCACCTAAAAACTTCACCACTTCTTTAAAATCATTTTAACATCCAAACTTAAACTGATTCAGTGTTTGAGTTTGTGTTCAGTGCACAGACTTACCTGTCTCTGTGCAGAATTCTCAAGTAGAGCAGGTTTCTCCTCCTATCAACGTTACTGATGTAAACGATGTGATCGATGTGATCAATGGTATCGATGTGACCAATGTGATCGATGTGATCGATGTGCGTGCATGCGTGCGTGCGTGCGTGCGTGCGTGCGTGCGTGCGTGCGTGCGTGACCACCTCTCCAGCTGGGTCTCTGTTCGGCTGTTTGGTGCACACCCCAGTTCGATGGTTTGTATTCACACCTTCCCAAAAGATCCTCACCAGGGTTTCAGTTTGTTTCAAGCGAACGTAACAAGGTAGGTGTGAATACACTCTAAGATGATCTCTTCAAAATGGCCAAAAAGTTACCTGGACAATTAATATTGCACTTTCCCAGTAATATTGCACACTCCTCTTCAATATCTATTTCACCAAATAAATTTTGATAAAATAAACAGAAGCAAATGAATAAAAGCAGCTCTCACACAAGGAAGTTGTAAATCAAAACGTTCTTGATGATATAATATCATACAAAGTATGTTGATGTCAAGTCTGCCATATATCATTTTGATGTATTTCCATTCACGGACCAGTGTTTGTTATGGGATGCTTTTGAGTCATTGGTCATTGAAATGATACATCCATCAATATCGACTGATGTGTAAATTGCTAAATTTGATTAAAAAGGTTAGATTTCCCTTTTTTAACTCATTAACATGTCAACAAAGAAACTTGAAACAACCAGTGTATACAATCAGAGCATTCTCTGCTTGAAAAAGATCTCATTGCTTCAATTCATTTCTGTGCTTGCATTTGCATTTCTTGAACATTTTGGCCGTCCATCAAAGTTCAGATGAGTTAGACCGCTCGCTTGGAATGTGTTCAGCCATGGAGGATTAAGGGATCCAAGGCAAGAAGGAGGTACAGAGGACCCCTGTGTATATGTACCCTGCTGTGTGTGTGTGTGTGTGTGTGTGTGTGTGTGTGTGTGTGTGTGTGTGTGTGTGTGTGTGTGTGTGTGTGTGTGTTCGTGAGTTTGTGAGTTTGTGAGTTTGACAGTGTGTGTGAGAAGTGAAGCGGAACCAAGGGGAAAAGTCTGAATATGGATGAGGAGGCTTCACAGCAACATCAGCCAAATGTTCCTGCTTCAACTAGATTCAACTAGAGACACAAACTACAGGTGCATGTACACACAACAAAATACACACAACCAGTCCTGAGCATGTGTGTGTCAGACTGAACTTAAAATCGACTTCTGTCACTAGTGGCCATGATGCCACCACAGCTTTCTCTTGGCAGCCCTGGCATCTAATTTGGCAACATGCTCTGCTGTGAGGCGGCATCACTCCTCAGGACCCTGAAGAAATTGGCTGGCAACTGAAACCAGTGTGTCATTGCTTTCAGACACACCGCCATGTGCTTGGCGGATTTGGAGAAGGAAAAAAAATTTGTAAAAATACTGAACGATTAAAAATAACAGGATGATTGTTCACATCAACCCTTGGCTTCAGTGTGTGAGTAGAGAAGTGTGGAAATGTAGAAATGAGATTCATCTGTTTTTTTCATATTCGCCCAAAGGCCCAGCAGGAACAAGCACAGGATATTAAAGCGTAGGAGGAATTTATGAATGAATAACATCCTTTTATGATTATTTTTTAACAAGACAGTAGTAAATCTGGATATACCTGTGCCCTATATGAAATAAAACCAATTCAAGAACTGAAAGGTCACAGGTATGATAACAAAAAAGAAGAAAAGAGTCTTGCTTTAGGAAACCAGCAACTCTGTGCCAAAGATATAATCAGACAGGGCTTTAACTTTTAATATAAATATTATCAAAGCAATGAATCATTTGCATTCCTTGGCGAGGTTGGCGCCAATTTTATGAAATAATTGGTTGAGTGACAGAAAAAGATGACAGATACGGGGGGTTTCCTTGGAAAAACTCTGGTTGCCGACTGCAAAATATTCAATCATTGCTTTTATTTTGTCAATTTCTCGCATCAACTATTAATGAAAGGATTCAGAGATATGGTTTAAGCTTGGAGATGCAATAATGCTGTCATGTTATCAGAACCTCTGCAAATAAGCAACACCTTCAAACACACCAGAATACAGAAATGTATTCTCTCTTTGTAGCGCATTGCCCCAGCACTGCAGACCTATTACACACAAACACAGGCAGACACACACACACACACACACACACACACACACACACACCAATTCAAAGACAGAATACCCTACGTCTCATTTCCTCTAACTCCCACTGAGAGAGGTCTAATAAACATAATTTAAATTGGGCATTAGGATTAAATTGGAGGTGGAGGGTGCAGTGTGGGGCTGTGTTTGTCTTTGTGTGTGAGCATTGCCGGGGAAGAAATGCAGCAGGCTTGCTAGGAGGATGAGTTAAAGGGAAAAAAATCGAAGTGAACAGGGAGTGTCAGTTAGAGCCTGGAACCCAGAAAGGGAAGTAGAGAAGAGACAAACACAGTGACAGGAAAACACAGGAGCCAAACTTTGAAGAAGTTTCCAAGTTCACAGAGTAGCTCCTGAATCGTGCTTTTGTTCCAGGTCCAACTTTTCATTTTCTTCCAAACCACTGCTTCAAGAACACCCACACTTGTCTACCTTTCCACCTCCGGCCCTCACTTTTTTTGGCTCTCTATACTTATCTGTGGAGCAGATGCGTCTGAGAAGGCCACAGAAGGTCAGTTTTGTCTGCTATCTGCTTGAAAACTGAAACTGGACTTTCAATACATGAGCCAAAGAAATACAACTTCTCAAAACTAGAGAGCGTACTGGGGAAGATTGGGCGCAGAGTGTTTGTAGTTTGATGGTTAACGAAGTGGACCAGTGACTGGAGGATTGCCCCGTTCAATCCCCGAGGGTAGAAATATCTAAGGATGGGATGCGCACTGAGGCGCCTTGCTGATATTTCAAAGTATTCTGTCTACACTAAATATGAACCTTCACCGACCATGTATGATTTTAGTTCTGTTATGTAACAGACCAAATTCTTTGTACCTTCAGTTGTATTTTTTTTTACATTCAAGGTTCAAGTGCTGCAAGATTGATCATATAATTACAAAATAAATAAATAAGATGAAATCATCAAATGAATATTAGATTTGAAGTTCAAGATTTGGCAAGTTCACACAAGAGAGAGATCCAAAATATAAAGACTGAAAGAAGAGAGAATTCTGGACTTCTGCTCTCCTATTCAGCAGAGTGGCATCTATACTAGGTAGGAATTAAGTGATTGATACTGATCTCATATAAAGCATTTTGTTTTCATAACACTATGCAGGGATCAGTTGCCTGATGGTAATTTTGGATAATACTCTGCAATGTTTAATTTCCATTTATTAAAAATGGAATACTGATAAATACAAACAGATACAACAAACTTTGCAAGTCTGACTTTTCTCTTTGTGCTGACAAAAGGAAAAAACAACAAACAACATTAAAGAGAGAAACACATAAGAGGAAATTTGTCAATTTAAGAGGATGTCTCTCCTAGCTCCTTTGGTGTAGTGTTTAGTTACGGTTATTTTACCTTGCTCTCCGTCTCTCTCTCTTTCACCAACACACACACTCACACACACACATACACAGAAAGATTCAGAGAGAAATTAGAAACAGCAATCAGGGAAAAAAAAACAAGTTTAGTCTAGTGTTAGGTGAAATATATCAAGTAACTTTTTATTGGAAATCTGCTGTATGTTGATCTCTCTGCAAAGAGCACATTATGCATGTGTCTTTTTTTTTTATCCTATATACTGCTTGACCTTTCCAGTTCACCTACCTTAAATAGAGCACTAATTAAAAATGTAATTAGCATGGAAGTTGCCATTTAATAGGCTTTAACCTGTAAAGGTTTCAGCCAGTGGTTGAGACAAATGTCAGCTATGAATAGAGAAAGATGAAGCTGTTGTACCTCAGAGGAATAAAATATAGATTTATATTCAAGAACAACCTGCATCGACTACAAAAAAACAGTTTTTCTGTAGTCGTGTGGGTGTGGGTTACAATAACAGAGACCAACACTGTTATTGTCGTCACAAAATTATGAAGTTGGATAATTGTATTGAATTTTACCTCATTTAAACTTACATTTACTAATAACTAATGTTAAAGGAATGGTTGGTAATTTTCTCCAGATACATTTTTTTAAAGATTTTGGTTGATATTGTCTTTAGGTCCTGACAGAAATTGATAATTCATGGCCTCTGAAAAAGGAACAATCCAAACAAAAAAGGAACAGAAAGACAGTCCGTCATTTGTAGCAGTTGTAATCATGTAAAAACCTCTAACAATTTCTGGTACGAGGTACCAATCTAGCCAATCATGCCTCCCTGTCTCCCTTCTCGTTCTCTACCCCTTGTGTTCACTAGCCCACACTCAAAGTGCATCACTGATGACAGAGTTTAAACTGTTGAGTTTAGTCACCGCTGAATGAGACATGAGATGATGATGTAGATTACAATGCAAATGATGAGCAGAGTTCTGCTCTTGGAGCAACAGCACTTGTGCATGTAAGTGAGGGGCGTGGCTTTTTAGGAAGCATGGAGGGGAGGGGGTGGGTGTAGATGGAGCACTAAGGCAATGCTACTGTCAAAATCATGCTAGTTTTCCTAGAATTACCAACCCTGACTTGAATTTCTCTTCATTCATTATACAAATATATTGTTTGACATTTAAAAGAAGAATGTGCGTGACTTTACACATAGATAATCCTACGTAAATGTCTCTCTGAGTCATGACTGTCGACAATGAGTGAGAAGCGCAAGTCCCACAGGCTGTGTTAATGTAGGAGCCGTGTTTGGATCAGGTCTACATGGACGGGACGGACGGCACCTCCCCTTGCATATAAAAGCTGTTTAAAGACTAGAGAAAAGAAGAGCATACTCACTACTTATTTTATATCACGGTCATTCCGTGTCAATTTATATCCTGTGTGAAGCCACAAGCTAACTAAAGTGTGCTAACATTAGCCTGCTAACACAACAATGCAGGCCACAGGCAATTGCAGCTCGAGCAAAGGACAGGTGTGTCCACCACTTGGGCTAAATTCCTCCTGCGAACTCAAGGGGATGGAGGTGTGCTGCTGGAAGAGAGCGACTACTATCTACTGGATATAAAAAGTCACCCATTCTTCCTTTAAATGAAGGGTTTTTGCACAAAAGCATAGTTGTATGTCAGAATTGGATCTCTAAAATATGAATCTTCTTCCTTCCTTTACACGTAAACCAACACACTTAAATACAGAGCTCTATCCTGCTGAGAAAGACTGTGGAGCGTTAGTCCTTTGATAACAAAACCACTTACTTCAATGAGTAGATAACTGCTCCCAGTTATTTTTCATTTCAAGTTTTTTTCCTGAAACTCATTTCCATTTCCTAGCTTATATTTTGTCCATCTTTACATCTCTCTCTTTCCATTGCATGAGCCCTCATTTTTAATTTAAGTCTTTACATTTTTATTCATATAGAGGAACAGAAACCAAAGAGAACACATGCTCGATCTTTCTTAAAACTTTGACTCAACATCTGTTCAAAGTTGACATCACTTAATTAACTATGTTAGTGAACATGATTGATTGTGGATTTACTGTCACCTTGACATTTTGAGCATGTCTTTGTAGTTTTTCATTATCAGTATGAAATGTGCTCATCACTTGTACACACAGTCATTGTTAGACAACACACACCAACCTGTGACAAGTGTCTGTGGAGGCTGGAATGCGGCGCAGAGCACATCGCTGCGATGCTGAACGCCTCCTTTCCACTCTGATGGTTCGACAAAAGACTGCGAGAAGGAATGCAGACGGAAAACTGTTAACATCCTGCAGAGACAGAGAGACACAGAAAGGAGGCTTTGGTGAGAAGTGAGGAAAGTTCTGGTTATTAAGAACACAGATGTCCTCTTCATAGACCGTCTTCATTGTATAAATGAATTTATTTATGATAATAAATTTATATTCTTGTCCCTCAAAGCACACAAATACATTCCACTCAGTTTTTTTTTACAGTATTTTATAAGCATTAGAAGAAATAATTGTGAAAGAGGTGGGTGTCATAGAATTAGTAATAGTTACAGTGGTACAGTGGTTCATTATTACTTCTGTAGCAACATTACAATGAATAGATGCTGTAATAGAAGAAGTTTTATGATTGTAATAGTGGCAGAAGGAGCAGCAACATTGGTAGAAATAAAGGATATAATGATATTAGCATCATTAGCAGTGTGCTACTGCTGCTAGCATCAACATCGCCAACATCAGCAAGGACCCAACACACCCAGGACACAGTCTGTACCTGTACCATCTCAAACAAGGTATCCAAACCATCTTAACCCAGCTTCTTTCCGCAAGCTGATGCCTCCATCACCCGCCTCAAACATGCTCACACACATAGCCTACATACTTTCAAATACTTGCTATGAACTGTTTCTGAATAATGTAGCACTACTGCAGGTTAAACTTAATGTAAATGTAAGGGGCAGTGACGATAGTGTTAGTTGTTTCAAAAACCAAAAGTAGAAATGGCGTTAGCAGTAAGAGTAAAAATAAGTGACAGTAGAATTGGAAGAGGAGGCAGGAATAATAGAAATTGTGATAGTGCATTGATCATAAAGCATGATTTATTGACTTGTTTCTTTGACTTTTTCACTGATAACTTTAGATTTTCAACCCTAAAAACAAACATGCTTGGATTGCAGTAGTAGTAAAAGTGATAATAGGAGTAGTATAATGAAATAAATGGTTAAATGGGCTGTACTTCTATAGAACTTTACTTCGTTCCCGTGGATCACTCAGAACTCATTTGCGCTCACCCTTTCACACAGTGATGGTTGAGGCTGCTCTGGAGTTCCAATATGCCCATCTGTACTGATCTAATCATTCATAAACAATCACACTCTGAAGTCTATGCCTTTGGGAGTTAAGTGTGTTGCCTAATGACTCTTCTAAATGCAGAATACGAAAATATGTGACCCAGCTGATGACTCGCTCTTCCACTGAGTCAGACAGGAGCAGCAGTAAGAGCAATGGTGGATTGTGAAGTATAACACATTAGACATACCAGTATTAGCTGCTGCAGATACGATTAATAATAGTAGCAGGAGACATAGTACAATTTGCTAATAGTGAGGTTTGTAATGAGGGTGCGGTTGACATTCAGATTTTCCATCCAAACCAAAAAATTAGCATAATCTGTAATAAGGCCATTTCTAAATGAGATCATTAACATTTTACAACCAACCGATTCACATTTTGACGGTGCTTTTAATTAATATGGAAGCTGTTCTTTTACATCACTGTGCCACAGCAGACATCATGCATATTCATCATCACAGAAGAGTTTTATCCCACCTGCAATGAGTTCTATTTCGTTCCTTTCATTGTTGTGCAGGTTTGAAATGAGAACATGATGCACTGTGGTTTCAAGCTGAGGACTGCGTCTTTCGGTGGGATGCGGATATTTGAATCTGCATGAGTGTTTGTGTGAGAAGCAGAAGGCAACAGGACTTCGAATCAGATCCCTTCCAACACAGCACAATACGGATTAAACTGTGGGCTATGTGGATGTGAAGAAACAGGAAATGATATGGACAGGGGAAAGTAATAATGGCAGTCTTTTTTCTTCTACTGCTGCTGATCTGTCCTCTATTTTCTCTTTACCACTGAGAAACCCCAGAGAGCAAGAAAACGTGTTTGTACGTGCGTACCGTATGTTGGAGAGAGACCGAGAAGAGAAAGCGAGACATATAAGTTGAAAAGATGTGACTCCATCAAAACCCCTGATATTCACTTGAGTCCTATACATTTTTAAATATCCATATTTTGTGATGTGTGTGTATTTGAAAAAGTACAGATGATATGCTGTTAAAATAAAACAAAGCAATATAAATACATCTGCAGTACCTGTCCCAACCCATCACCAATATACTCCTCTTCAGCAGCAGGATCTGTGAGATCTCCACAGCTCGACCCTGGCCAGCGTTCATTCTGTGGAGGCAGCGGCCATTAAAGTCCCACACCTGCAAAAGACCATACAAACTACATTTAAAATGCCATCAAACACCAAATCTGCTTCTTTGTTAAAATACAAGTAATATTTCATCCTCATGCTTGTCAAAAAATTGAACATTTGGTCAGTTATCATGTTAAGTTTTCTTATTCTGACTGACCTAAAAGTAGGTGTTTTCCTTTTTTTTTTAAGAGGTCCTGCTGCATATGATTACAGGGAATCCAATAAAGATGTTTTTGAAATAAACAGATTTTTTCAGGGTGCACATGCAGGAACAAACTATTAAGCTATTATCCTATTACACATCAATCAAACATGACAGCTCAGGTAATAATGCTCCCTCTCTGTCCCATTTGGCATGATGACACAGTTTGGATCTGTGTGTTCTGGCATTTAACAAAGCATCACTGATTGGCCCGATGGGAATGCTGTAATTAAAAGGTCAAAATCTCAATTCTGAATGGCCCTACTGCTACACTGCGGGTTCAGTGTTGATGAAAATTGGAGAGATGATGCATCTTGTTACTAATTGGCCCGAGGGGTGCCTGCCTCTTCTGCAGAGGATGACTTATGTAGTTGTTTCAAATGGCACTGTGAGTGTTTACCTGGTACTGCTTACACAAATGCACAGGATGCACAAGGCTGCATTCTGGCACAAGCTCATGTGGTCATGGGACCTGATGTGGTTGATTGAATTGATTATAACATGCATTATTATGATATGTGTTGGTAAAAATAGCTTTAAGTCTTGAGTCATTAGTGGAAAAAACATGCAATGGAGGAAAACATGTTAAGCAACCACATTTTGAATGTCAGACAAGAAGGTGTGTAAGAATCAATCATCTGCAGAGAAAGGTCACACGTATTAGAATACAGGCAGAGAAGGCTCCACCTGAAGTATCCTTGGGCAAGGCACTGAAACCCAAGACACTGCACTCTATGGTATAGCTAGCAGCATGTGAATGTACATAACTGTGATTAGTACAGATGAGTATGTTGAATATGTTATATAGCAGCTTCTGTCATCAGTGTGGAAAATGTCTGTGAAAAGGTCAATCTGCCATGTATAGTGTAAAAGTGCTAGGAGACAGTTTTAAACATTTACATATACATCTATAATACACAGTAAAAAAAAAACGTTGCCTTATTTAAGGGCTCTTTCCTTGGCCGACAAGTGATATGTGAATCAAAGACTATATATATTTGATGTTTATGCTTAACAAAAGACAGTTGACTGTTATGGCATATATGATCAGAAGTGCTGCCAGGATAATACATGCCTTGTTTAAACACTTAGAAATAGCAGCAATTAGAAAATAAATAGTTTAGTGCATTGATTGGTATTAAGAAGTTCCCTATACATCTGTTACTTAACTGATGTGGCTAAAACCATAACTGACATAACTTCCTCAAAAATGTAGCAGCAGATTAGCGTGGGAAAAAAAAAAAGTTTACATGTTAAAAGTTGTGTCAAATATCATTAGGGACAGGAATACAACTGAGGCATGATCCAGCCACATGATGTCAGATTCACCTCTTGTTGTTTAATCTGTGCTATGCCAGCTGATATAGTTAAAATACAAGGCAGCTTCACCACATCCCTATGGTGTATCATCCATTTCCCCCTTACATCAAATATAAATAAAACTCCTTTGTGCTTAAAAAACTGTGCTCAGAAATTCATTGAAGTGTTTTGTGGAGGAGTTCTTGACACTCTGCCACTTCACCTTCCTCTTTAAATCTTTCCATCAAACACTTTCCCCTGACATCTTTGCATTTCAGTCAGTGCATTTCAGAGTTTGCATCTCAAGATCGGCTCTTACATGGTTTACAGCTAAACAAGCGTGTGTGTGTGTGTGTGTGTGTGTGTGTGTGTGTGTGTGTGTGTGTGTGTGTGTGTGTGTGTGTGTGTGTGTGTGTGTGTGTGTGTGTGTGCGCGTGCGTGTGTGTGTCTACCTACTTTGACCTCTCCATCAGTGCCTGCAGTAAACAGCCGGGTCTGTGTGCCATCCAGGGCCATGGTTGAGATCTCAGAGTTGCCATGGCAATGGTGGAACTGCTTCACCTTTTGGCCTGTGTCAGCCTGCCAACAGATCACAGAAGAGGCCAAGTCACTGCTGACTACCTGCAGAGAAAGATAGAGAGGGAGAGAGAGAGAGAGAGAGAGAGAGAGAGAGAGAGAGAGAGAGCAAGAGAGCGAGAGAGAGAGAGAGAGAGAGAGTGAGAGAGAGAGCGAGAGAGTGAGAGAGAGAGCGAGAGAGTCAGAGAGAGAGCGAGAGAGAGAGAGAGAGAGAGAGAGTGAGAGAGAGGACATCAATCATCAAAACGATTTTGATCCTTTTAAAGCTGTTTGAAAAGCAGCTCCAGCTGATCTATTCTTTAATGACTCGTAAACCATTCTCCACACTTCGTTACAATTTATTTCACCATTAAAGAAAATATGCAACTAATGCTGCTGTCAAGTGGGAATAAAAGCAGAAGGCCAAAAGCATTAAGACTGTGTTTACCATTTAAATCGAGTGACCTGTTATATTTGATAAAGTATTGACTCCTGTACAGTATTTGTATGGTTTTCCTGATTGAGATTAATGGCAGCTTTCACAAAGAATTCCAAAGGAACCAAAACATGCATTAAAACAAAATTATGACATGATGATTCCAATAATTTTGCAGAACTCAGCATATTATATCATATACAAATAAATGCAAGCTAAAGTTTCCTTCACACGATTGCATTTAACTGTTAGAAGAAACAATTGCATACTTGACGAAACAATTTTAGTTTATAAGGTCCATGAGGTTGCTGTTGCACAGGGTGTTTTTTTTCTTGTTATTTTCCAAATTCCATGGTGTTTAAAAGTGTTTTGATGAAAATCACAAAGAATTATTTCAAGTACAAAAAGAAAAGAGAAATTGAAATTTCTACAGTCTCATAACAACAAGCAAACTCCATTGTAAGGATAAGAACTCGAGGACTGACATGAAATTAACTTTTTTTAATGGTTATACTAATTTTGGTTTCCAAGGGAAGGAATGAAACAATTACGGTAACTCATAAACTTTCTTAGCAGTTAATGCTTTTACAACTGAAGAACCTCATTTTGCACAAAAAAAGGCATACCTGTCTGAACAGACTATTATACAGAACACAGGTAACAGGGTGTTCATGGCTGCTGGTCCTCTTCTCCTCTTTCATGGTCTCCAGCAGGAGGAGCTGACTGTTGAAGGAGAGCAGGAGGAGTTGTCGCTCCTCATGGAGGAACAGAAGGGTGTGTGTGTCCTCCTGCATCTTTGGGAAGACACCAGCAAGGCGGTGAACACACAGCTGACTGGAAACATCCCACAGACACAGGACCTGGAAAGTGTAAAAGTAAATGCATGAAGGGGTAGAAGCTGTATGAAAATGATCAGTATTAATATACATTATGATGAAGATGGAAATCTGCATGCAAGACCTGATGACTATTGAGTTTGCAGAAGGCTCTAGCGTTAAGATTTCAGAGTCTCTTGCGATGGCAGAAGGTGTTCGAGCAGAAGGCAGATGGAAGATAAATAACATCTAAAATATTCATTATCTCCAAAAAAAGCCAAAGAGAAGGCAAACATGCACAGAGCAGCAACAGGGTGAGGAAAAGCAGCAAAAGATACATCATCAAAAGGGAACCAAACGGAAATGTGGTCATACATTTTGGAAATATCACAATGATATGTCTCCTTATATACATAAGCATATAACCTGTTGCATACAAGGACACACACTCCTACCTTATCTTTGGAGTAGCTCAGTAGTTGTTTCTTGGTCTGCATGAAGCGGACAGCAGTGACAGGGCTCATGTGCCCACTAAGTGCACAAACTGGCTCTGAGGTCACATACGGGTTCCACAGCAAGACCTGATGATCAACACCTGCTGTGGCTACAAAACATTCAAGAAGTGCCACATCAGCTGCAGGTGGGAAATAACACCTGTTATCACTCTCAAGTCCCTGGAATGTTTTTTTAATCTGACTACACATCGGTTCCCACCTATTAGATTGAGTCTACGGTGGTGGTCCATGTCCCACACACCCCTCTTAGTAAAGAAAGAAGTGACTCGTAGACTCCTGCTTTCCTTTTCCCTCCAGCCGATCACCATGCTGCTCTGCGGTCTGGTGCTGCACGACACAAAGGCTTCAAGGCAGCCAAGGTAACTAACTGTAGTGAAAGAAAAGAGTCAGAAGTAAATTAGGTGTGACAGATACTGTAATTAGCTTCATTACATTTAAAAAAGAGTGTGGTACTGGGAAGGAACAAGCCTACCCATGATTAAGGCCAATTAGATAATGAAGGGAAAATACAGGAGAATTAGGCAATTAAGTAACTTTTTGTAATTTTCTTTTTTTACAAGGTTTTCTTTCTTGTGACCAGGCCCACCCACAGTAATTGGCTGGAACCCTAAAAGGCTAGGTGATGTGATTAAAGAATATCATTACACATGTGTTAAATCAGAAGCATTAGCATTCTGGCTAAATTTCATCTCCTCTGATTGGCTCTGATCAGCTTTTGAAGCTTACTGAAAAAAGTTTGATAACAAGTTACTTTTGGGCTCAAATGCCACCTTTCTTATAGCATCCTGACTTTGTGCAGGGCCGTGCATAGATTTACCCAGCCTGAAATTACTGGCTTAACAGTAAGATTTATGTGTGTTTATATGTTTATATGTGTTCACACACAATGTTAATGTTTAATGTCCATTAAAAAAAAAAAGAGTTATTTGTTGTGTTGTAATGGTGAGTATTTAGGTTTAAAAATAGTTTTATGACTGCTTAATTTTAGGATGACCATGCTTTACCTAACCCTAACAGGTCCCCATGTGCTTAGGCCCCAGATAGCATTTCCCTTTTCCCCCCTTATGGGCCACCTTGCTTGTGATCAACTGATTACTTTGCTTTCCTTTGTTGTGTCTGTGTTTTAAGTTGCCCTAAATAAAAACTATGATAAGATGAAACAAACATATGACCTTCAGATCGTTTTTTTTAAGACCTGATTTTTGTGTCAGGTAATAAAAACATAATTGAATTACCACTGTTACTTTATGAATGGACGGTCTATTTTCACCAAGGTTTCTAACTGCAGGTTTGGCATTTTAAGCCAATGTGTTCCAGTTTCAAAATGTCTGGAGGATAAAAAAAAATATTTCCAATCTGAAAATTATGACTTATCCAAGACTTTATTTATTACAAACAGGACACAAAAATTATATGTTTCCTCACTGGTTTTGTATCTGAATTTGTGGCATTCATAATTAAATGAAATACATTCGTTTCTATGTTTCATAAGCCCCATTATTGACATTTACACAGAACTTCAGGGAATCGTGGATGGAGCCTTGGGGAACACCTACTCTAACTGGCTACAGAGGAGTACGCATCACTAACCAGAAATAAACTGTGTTTGATAAAAGTTTATCAGATGTATTCACTTGTGAGGACAACCCAGTCATACAAAAGGATTAACCATGTCTGTGATTTTTTTTTAAATAAAGAGGGTCAAGGCTAGGTCTCTCTAGAAGTGAGTGTACTACTTACAGCTTAAGGAACTCAGTGATTTCCCTAAGAACTAGTGAAGACAGCACCTTTTTAAAAACATCCAAAAGCAATTTAGCAGGCATAACTTTAAAATGACATGTTATAGGGTTAAGTTAGCCTGTTTAAGGTGCACAACAATGAGGCATCCATAGCAAGCAAAGTCTTGATATAAGTTCATCAATCTTAATGTTTATCCACACAGAACTAACTATTCCTGTACAAATTCATTCCACGAAGAAAAAAAAATCAGAAAGTGAACTTAAATGAATGCCTTTCCCAAGTGTGGAGCATTTAAGCGGCAAAAGCTTCTTGCAGAGAGAATAAATTAGTTTAAGTAAAAAAAATGTTGGAAGATATTTAGATGATGACACACACTTTAATTTCTTGAAATTTCTTGAAATACTTATTCCTCGTTAAGCCAAGAAGCTTTCACAAACCAAAACTCTGAAGGACATCCACTTTCGGATATGGCTGAGTTTTATGTGCACTGACCGCAACCCTGCTGTAAAGTAAACCAACCAATCCACAGGCGCTCAGCACAGCATAGAATTAGGCTGGTTTGATTTGCTCACTGGTATTACAGAAAACGTAATGGATGTTGCATCACCATCTATCTCAATTAACACATTGATTGAGAACAGCTAAATTGGATGCCACAAGTCTCTATTAGAGGCTGCTTAGCTTTCATACACTGCACAAATAAGTGCGGGATGTGAGATGGCATGTGACAGTCGCAGGTCAAAGATCGGCTGCATAGCTGGGGCAAATAATTATGTCTGATTGCATTTCATACACCACATATTTTCTCCATCCTGTGAATTAAAAGATCAGTGGATTTTCAGACAGCATTGCATGACTCATCGTTGATTAACGAGGCCTTTTCTCTTTCACCGCAACACTCAAATCATAAATCAAACTATTTGTGATGCACACACAGACATGTAACATCTATTTAAGACTTAATGTTGTGTGTATGGAATTTACAGAGCAAACTCAAAAGTACCTATGCATTTTACATCAAAGCATAGCTCTTCTGTTTTCCAACATATGACTGACATTTTTGGGATAAATTACCTACGTACATCTTGACTTTTATGTTATTGTCCTTTTTCATTTCGATCACAATATTAAATAAATATATTTATGTGTTTATTTGTAGTTGGCACACACTTAATACAGTTCCACTCACTGAAAGGTCTGTGTTCATCACAATTTCCTCCTAATTTCCTTTCAATTCCCCTCTGTGTTTCAACCCAACCCCCTGCTCTCTTTCTCTCCGGTGGCCCCGTGAGCCTGAAGGTTTGGAGGTCTGTATAACCAGCCATGTCTAATGGTACACAGCCCACTCATACTGCAGGGTGGGCAACTTCAAAAGAACAGCACCAGCACCCCAGAGGAATGACAACACACATATATGCAGTCAGACACTTTCCTCTTCTCCTTTCTCAAACTCGCAAACACCACACACACACACACACACACACACACACACACACACACACACACACACACACACACACACACACACACACACCCTCTCATGTGTTTTCACGTGCACTTGCATACGCAGCCTGCAAATTTCAATTAACTTGCCCTTTTTTCATCGTTCTGGCATTGTCTCCTCTCTTTCCCCTGTTTGTGTATTCCCTTTGTTTCCCCATTTGTGCTTATTTATAAGTACTTTAGTCCTGCTTTTCTCTTTATCAGGATCTCCCCTCTCAGCCAAGCTAGTCTCAGAGTGCTGCCTCCTCTGAATCATTATCAAACAGCCCAATGAGTCTTCAGAGAGACTCTGTGCCAATGATGCAATCTAGATACAACTAAGCGACCTCTTTGTTACCCAGACTGAGCTCAAGTGGGGAGTCTCAGGGGGGTAGACCCTGAGCCTGTGACTTTATGCCAATAGTCAAAGGTCTGGCTATGCAAGACTATAAAGTGGATGACTCAGGACTCAGTGCATGTGTGTCAGTGTGTGTCTGCATCAGAGACGGAGACACACCCAAGCATTTCCATGGTGTTGCATAAGCTGTTATTAAAATGAAAAAGAGAGCAAGCAAGCAGGCACAAACAGGGGCTCTCATCCCCACAAGGTGAAAGCGTGCATCAGGTATCCTGACAACTCCAGTGTGTTCTTTGTTTTCTGGCTCTTCATCATCTGAGCCGCCAATTCTGTACCCTCACTTTCATTTTCATTTTGTCCAAATAATAAAAAATATAAATATGGTGTCCCATTAGCCAGCATGAAATTCCCTGAAAGAGGAAGTAGCTGTGGCTATATATGCTGACCCCTTCGTTTACAATATAAAAGAGCAGTTGTGTCAAGAAGAAGAGAAGTTTGTTTAGAGCAAGTTACCATAGAAACAATGACAAAGCTACAACAAAGACATACGTGTGTGCTGTTCAAGAGAGACAGTCAGATTTAATGTATATGCACAGAAAATATAACTTTTGTGTGTATCCTACCTTTCCTAACCCAGGCAGGCGTGTGTGCTTTGTGTGTCACAGTGTAACAGGTGTGATGCTCTCCTTTGACCAGCTCATCCCACTGGATGATGTTAGCTGAATCAGAGTCTGTCCTCAGACCAAGTCTCTCAAACAGAGAGATCTGAGCTGCGGTGAAGTGTATACCGCTGACCTGGGATAAAACACACACACACACACATGCACACACGCACACACACACACACACACACACGCACACACACACACACACACGCGCACACACACACCCACAGTTATGGGGGAAAGCACTGATGATCGTATTCAGGTGATGCAGACAAATGAGGACGCCTGAGGATTGCTTGCCTCGCTCCACATTCTCTTAGCTTCTTAAATTTGTTCCATTCTTTTCCCCTGTGTTACCTGTCCTCCAATATCTCCTATAGTGAGGACAGCCTGGTCTGGCTGTGAAGGGTCCATCCAATAGTCCAGACACCAGGGAGTGAACTTCAAACCCTGGAGGTCAGAGAGGTACAGTGCACTATATTATGCCATGTCCTGTGATACTTTCCATACTTTAATAATATACACATAACATACATCACGGGGGTGCTCCCCATAATAAAAGAAAATGCTTTAATGACACAACTCACACATTATAATAAATATATGTGTGTGTAAATTATTATTTTTAAAAGTCAAACATATAATTCTATATGTTACCTGGAGTTTATACTTGCAGTTGAAATCTCGTTCTGACACTATGTCATAAAAACACACCTCCTTACTTGTGAACGACACAGCTATCTGAAAAAAGAAAACAGAAAAACAAAGGAGAGTTTATGAGAAATATAGAGACAAAGACAGAGAATTTAACTCATTCTCGATAGAATCATGCAATCGTTCATCTCAGCATCTGTCGGATTAATAATTGCTTAATCAAAAGCAATTAATGGGCTTATCTAAACGCAATTACTTGACTCATTACCATCATAACATTTTGATTTATTTTCTGAGCATATTGCAACAGCTGCTTGTCTGCAATGGCAATAATCAAGACCAGTGAACAATATTGAATTGAATGAGTAAAAAACCTGTTTACCATTGTGCACTACAATAACGGCGCACCAATATTGATGTTGTTATAAACTAAAAGTCACCTTGTCGAGGTTGTGCAGAATCACCATGTCAGTGACCCACAGGTCTTTGGGTGCCACTGTGCTGTTTTGCAGTCGATATGTGTGCAGAAGGGACATGTCCTCTCCGTCCCGCAGCCCCACAATTCCTCCTTTACTCACGGTCAGATACTGACCAGAACTCTGCAGGTGCAACACCTAGAGAGACCAGAGGACAACATTTAACCTCTAAAAAACAAGCATCGAGCAAAGTAAATACAAAGTAATACAGACTCTCTTCGTAGTTCTCACTTTGTTCAATTGGCAGCTTTACGGCTCTATGTGATGCAGTTTTCAACATTTTAATGGGAAGATAATTAGTAAAATGGAGGCTACGATTTAGGATGTTTCAACATAAAGTACTTCCTCTGCATTCTTGCTGATCTTAGTCATAAATTCACACTTGCTTAACTAAATTAAAGATGACCTCATTCTTAAATCTTTCTCTTGTTGGATCCACATAAGTACAAGTACTGTATGGGTGACACGTAATTTTTTCTTAAAACAATAAAACACAAAGGATTAATGAATGATGCAATTTTATTGGCTTAGCCACAAGAAAGAGGACTGCAGGAAAAAAGGCATTAGTTCACTGTGGAGAAAGAGACTCTGAATGTCTTTAATGAGAATCAGTTTTAATACTTCGATGTATATTTGCATACCAGGTAAATTTTCCAGAGTCAACTGTTGCCTTTGTTAGATCTCTGAGAGTATGAGTCAATACAGCTAACATTCAATTCAATTAAAAAAACTCATTGCAGGTAGACTAAAAATATAAACCAAAATATGTAACGTGTCAATCTTTCCCTATCCTTAAAATTAACTGTTAAGTGGTGCAATTTAGTCATAATGCAAGCATCAGTTTATTTAGGTTATTGAGGAAGACCAATAGGAACTCTGCATGGAAAAATATGTAGATTACACACACACACACACACACACACACACACACACACACACACACACACTAACCCCTCCAAAACATAAATCATCAAACCAAATTAAAGGTTGATATTTGCAGTTTACAGGAAACAAACTTAACAAACATAGAATTAAATAACTTCCAACCCAAACAATGTAATCAAATATTCTTTTTCACAAAACATTACGAGGTGTTTCAATGTTAATAAATAAAAACCTTAATTCATAACAGAACTATTACAGACCCAGAGGGTAGATTTATCATTGTTGGTGCTTCTATAAATATAAACAAATTCACTTTTGCTAATATCTACTGTATGGACCTAGTAATGATGACTCAAACTCCTTTTTATGCTTCCTTTTATTACTAAATGAATCAACTAATATCATAATTGCCATAACTGTTTTATACTCCGGAATAGATGGTTCAAGGTCTACTGGTAACACAAGAAACCTGCAGTCTACTGAAACTATCAAACAAAACATGACTGACTTTGGGCATGGCAATAGTTGGAGAACAACACATCCAACACAATGGACATACTTTATGAAAATAAATGACTTTACAGAAACAGCTCCGTCACTACTTTGGGAAACAGGTAAAACAGTAATCAGGGGTATAATTGTATTATTCTCATCATACAAGAAAAACCCAACAACAACTTGAAAGCAATTCAGAAGAAAGGATAAAGCAACTGACAAACCATTAATCTCATAACCCAACAAAACCGATAAGAGAGGAACTAAGAAATGTTAAAGCCCAACTTAAAACTATCATACACAAAGACACAGTTTCTAATTCAGAAACTTAAACATGACAACTTCCAGTAACAACATGCAAATATTTGGCTAATTTACTACAAATCAAAAAATAAAAATCTACCATCAGTAGTTAACTCTAATGGGGAAACTGTTCAGGATCAGCACGAGATAAATAAGAACTTCCAATCCTTCTTCAACAACGTGGACTTACCCCTCCTTCCAACAGAACCATCTGAGAGCATAGACAGACCAATCTCCCCAGAAGAACTCCATCTAGCTTTAAATTAAAATGCCCAACAATAAATCACCTCGACCAGACAGATTCCCAGAAGAGTTTTAGAGACATTTCTGGCACATACTTTCACTGCTTTTTTACAGAGCAAATAACTACCTACATGAATACAGCCACTCAAAGCTAATACAGACCCAACCCACCCATCGAGTTACCGTCCAATCTTACTTATCAGTACGGATTTAAAAATGATCACCAAAGCCCAATCTACAATCTAAAATAGACCCCTTATTAATCCACCTAGATCAAACAGGCTTCATCAAAAATAGACACAACCCCTGTAGGCTTTTCAATATTATCAATTTCTTTAAACGTCTTCTTAGGTCTATTTTTATTCTCCTCGCACTCCTGGATTATGAGTCTCTTTTACAACCTTACACACTGTTGTGTTCACCGTCTCAGCTAACTTCCCATGCCTGTTGTACTGCATAGATAGTTTGAGCAGGGTTTAATGTTTTTCTACAAAAACTTAACCTGGTAGGGTAATCTGACTCTAGCCAATGAAAACATACTTGGAGGCCTTGTTAAAGTGAAGTGGCAGGCAAGATTTCTGGGAGGAGTCGACCTCTAGAGCAAGCAGTTGAACAGAAAGGCCCAGATCACCCTCTCTATGCAGAGTTTAATCTTCTACCCTCAGGCAGACGACGGTATAGAGACAAGAGGCATCAGGTCGCCTTTGTACCTGCCTCTTTTTGTTTGGTAAATAGCAGTTAATTTAAATGTCTTGCTGCTCATTGCACACTACAAGTTTCACTGGATGCTGAATGTTCTTTGCAGGGCTTTTATGTATTTAGTAAATGTTTGTGGATTGTCTATTAGTGTTGTATGTATTTTGTATGTTTCCGGCTGCAAACCAGTTTTCCTGTGGGGACAATAAAGATACCTCTGACCTTTGCTAGGGTCCAAAAGCCCAAGAATATTCTAAAAAAATTGGGAAACTTTCACAGCTTTATGGTAATGTGAATGTGGCCTTAGGCAACCCTCTAACTTCACAGGCATGTGCTGTATTTAATATTTTGACAAAAACTAGTTTTAGAAGTTTCTAGTATTTTTCACATTTTTCATGTTTTTGCTTACAATGTGCCAACTTTACTTTTTAGTGTTCCTTCCTTCAGAGTCTTCCAAGCAACATTACACGTCTGCCTCCCTAATGTTCTGAGCTAAATAGGTCAAAACCTTCAGGCCATTTGGAAAACAACTTACATGACATTTTGACATTCTCAGGATTGAAAGATTGAAGTGGTGAGCCATCACTTTATCCACAGTGGTAGGCACTTTACACCGCCCGCTTCATTTACATTTTAATTGATAGATGTTAAACTTAAAGGAGTCCAGAGCCATTTATCTCGACTGAGGTGGGCCATTTTGATGAGCAAGACCCTAATACTTTGGAACTTTCCCTTGCACAATGTTTAATAATGTGTAATTCTAGCAAGTCAGCAGAGTCTTGGATTCTCTAGACAGTCTGTCAGTGTCAGAATGTTTTAGTTAAAATTCTGCAACAGATCGTAAGTTCAAAATGGGAAACATGTCTGAATCTTCTGAACAAACTCTTTTTTTCTGAAGCTCTTACCTTTTGAACAGGGTCTCGGTGTGGACAGGTCAAAGTGCGAGGTGGCGTCCAGCAGGGCACACTGCTTGTTCTGCTGTTCTTCACTTTATCAGAAAGCTCCAGGAGCAGGAAAGAGCAAAGGCCAGCCCAGTCGACACGTCCCTCTTCCTTCACAGTATCAATATCCAGAAAGAGGCCGTGGTGCTCCTGAGTGATGACCACGCTGTCAAACAGGAGGCCATAATCCTCTTTAGAGCCACGGCCAACTGATGACCAAGCATGCTGGATGAATTCAGCTCTGGAAAGCGAGCGAGGCTCACCAGAGGAGTCCTGCATCAAGACCAACAGGAGAAATTGCAATTAGTCATTTCTTATCTGAAAAACACAGCTATATAAACAGTAGTATGTTCTTCTGTGTTTCCCATATGAATTAAATATGTTCTATAAGACTTTTAAAGTTACCAAAAAAAACACTAACCAGGAAAAGGCCCTGTAGTTTTCTATAGTCCTCAGTGTTCATTCTGCTCTCAAGCTGTGCCACCTCCATCCTTGTCCCCATGGTTACAGCTCAGACCTGTCAATCAATCACCAAAATACCAGACAAGGTCAGTGAGGTGAGGCATGTGTGTGTGACTCCATGCAGAGTCAAATAATACATTTTCCACATTCAAAGGTGTTATACGACGGAACAAGATGTTCCCGGCTCAGTTAATCCCTTAGTAACCTTGAATATCAGGTTCACCGCAGGTTGTCATGTCACCATAATCATAGAGCACAGTCACAGCAGCAGTGGACTTCCTTTGTTAGCTATTTTCACTCCATCCAAACATGCAGCTTTCAAAGGTGGGTGAATAGACGGCCACATCTTGAGGCTTGGAAATGATTCCAGGAGGCGGCAGGTTGCCAAAGCATGCCAAGTATCTGTGTATCAGGTAAAATGCCAAATGGACAGCATGCATAGCAGAGAGATTTGTTAAATACGTCTTTGTGGTGATTAAAAGCTCTTTTTAAAAGTTGCTTTTTGACATTCATTTGACGCCTAACATGGAGTTTTTATTATCAAAAGTCCATTGGTACTGTCACCAAAATACACTGGAATTAAGATGACGGAGTGGAAATAAAAGCAAAAAATCAATCATTTGCCAGTGCTTTTATACCTTTCATGATGACGATTAACCGAGGTGTGATGTTGATGGGTGATGATAGTTTATCAACCTCTCTATTTACATCTTTAACAACAACTCAATCGACTGCAACAGATATGTTTATGTTACCGCAATGAAGGAAAAGAAAGGTGTCGCCTTGGGGACATTTCAATCATGTTTTGTTTATGAGTGTAATGACTTTAAATCAACCGCATCCTGACACGTTGTGTGTCAGGCAGCTGTAGTCGGTCTTTATGAGCTTACACAGCTCCAATAAAAGAAGCACAAAGAGAAAACCACATTTTAGGCAGATGCACATGCTGTTGTAAACATCTGATATGGCGGTGCGTTTATCATTTTGGGGCCAACTTCAGACAATTACAATCTGCAATATAACTCAAGCGACAAAAAAGCAAAACATGTTTTAGTGCTGTAATATCTGATACAAACCCACTTACCTGGCTGTCTCTTTTTTAAATTCTTAGATGGCCACTTCAGGTCCAGTCAAGTCTCAAGTCATTCACTCCTGGATTTCTATCTGCAGTTTGTAAAAGTTGCACAGAGTATTATCCACTGCAGTCAAACTGTCCAAAAAGCCATCTCAGCACCAGGCTGAAACTACATAATGATAGGCTCTGGGCTAAGGCAATATCACTCTCAAGTTAGTTGTACCCTTCAAATGCTGCCAGTGTGTACACACACTTCAGTCAAGTTTTTTAACGAACAAGCTTGTGTAGTAGATCTGTATTCACATTTTCTCACTTCATAACAAACTTACCAAGACGACCTATTTCATCCTGTCAGTCCTTAATAGCTGTCCTGAGTAAACTGCCCCAGACTCCCCAGACTCCCCATCCTCTGATGTTTTGAAAGATCATTTTTTAAATGTATGACATTTCAAACAAATCTTCACCCTCTAGCTTGGTCTTTTTGGGGCTCTGCAGGGTCCAGTCTTGAAGGTGATTTGATTCAGCTGATGCAAGGAGCTATGTATCCAGAGGTTTGTCTAAGGTGCCGATTTCTGAGAAACAATCAACGCCTTCAGCCCTGGCTGCAGCAAACACCCGGAGAGAGTTAACGGCTGTAGCTGCCCCCTGTAGAAGAGACAGTGGCAGAGGCCACACACACATTTCTTTTCTTTTATTATCCCTCACTCTCAAAGACTCAGGCTAAGTTTCCCGGCAACCAAGCAGTCAAAAAGAGTTGTTTGTGAGTCTAGGTCAGTATGCAACACAGTGTGTGTGTGTGTTTTCTATTCATAGATTAGGCACTGGAGAGAAAGTAACCCCTGTGAAGTACAATTACCGCCCTACAAAAATACACAAAACACACACAACCAAAGCTATAGCAACACAGATAATAACAAAGGAGCAGCGTTATATTACTGCCACTCATAAAGAGCATTGAATACAAATACAAATAGATTACAAAAAAGCACAAACACAAAAGCCACCAGAACTTTTTAGTGCCATTCAAATACCTTTGCGATGTGATTTCCAGCAGGTCACTTAAGCTGTACACACACACACACACACACACACACGACATAAGAGGAGAAGTGTCTCTTTGGGATTTGTTATAATGAGACAACTATATCGTCTGTATGACTTCTCACGAGAAGCTGCACATAAACTATAGATACAATCGCCTTCCTCTCTCCCTCGCTGCTTCAATGACCAAAACCAATCCCTGCGTGTGACTTAATATCCTGGAATAAGTTAAATTAGCTGATTACTGCAGTCGTCAACGGTGACAGGATCAGGAAAATGAGGTCTCAGCAATTTCAATAATAAAGCTTTAAAAATTAACACTATCACAATTGGATTACAGTGGTGCATGCAGGAGCCAGTGCAGAGCCCAAAATAGCCCACCACAAATCCACCATGGAAAATCCACTATTATACAGGGAGAAGAATAAAGTTGCTGGAATGAGGGGTGGGGGGGGGAATTGGTACGGATCTTTAAGACTGTGAGGAAAGACGGGCAGGCGGAGAAAGAAAGGACGCAAGGGCAAGCCGGCAGAAATGAAGCACTTTCATACAACAATTGTAAACTGAAGAAACCCACTTTTGGAAATCTTTCTCAATGAAAGACCTCTTTGATTTTCAATAGGAAGAAAAGTATTATTTTTTTTAATTTTCAACACACTCTTCATGACTCTAGCGTCCAATTTCAAGTACTGGTGCTTATTTTTCCAACTTACTTATTCAAGGGAAAATGTATGGGGTCATTGCAATGAAGTAAAACATGAAGATATAGTAAAAGATAAAGAAAGATAATGTATGATGAAGTTCAACTGTAGTTTAACCAAGGCCTTTTATGAAACGTGCTGCCTCCAGTGCTGGAAATGTCATCAGGTCATTACACATTAATCCAGTATTGTGTTGATCTATATATTCCTTTCTGTCCATCATAGTTATCATTTATTAGTCTGAGAATGATGTACACTTTTCTCTAACTACTTCATTTATAGTGTTTGTTATACTAAACCACTTGGTGCTATACATACGGACTCTTTCAGCCAATCATTTAAAAGTATGTGGTTGCTCCTGTGGCTGTAGCTGTGCTGCCCTTTTTTAGACTTTTTGAAATGGATGATATATACTTCTAACATAGAAATAGATGTTAACAAATGGATGGTGGATTTCTAAAATAAAATATCTCACTAACCGGTAACAACAGTGATACCTTTATTGGTAATATCTTATGGTTACTTGCACCACATTACCGTTAGTGAAAAGGCTGAACACCACCCAGAGATGTTCTGGGATGAAAGGGGCGAAACATCTTTGAAAGGTGGCTCCCAGCTGACAACTCTGCTGCTGGTCCATTGGCGCTGGTGGAGGTCTGACAGGCAGAAATGTCTTGTCGGTGACGAACAAGATGCTTCCATCTGAAGTAATACTTTCAACAGTCGCTCAAAAATATAACCAATTTGATGATTCAAATTTGCAAACAGATAAAACAGATTTTGCTTTTCTTGTAAGATACTTAATGAATCTCACATCGGGCAGCTGTGGCTCAGTTGGTACTGTCGGTTGCCTCTCAACCGGAAGGTTAGGGGTTCAATCCCCAGCTCCAGCGGCAACATGTTCAATGTGTCCTTGGGCAAGACACTAAACTTAAATTATACAACAGTCGGTAAAAATATGCATCCGGGGCGCTGGTGGCGCATTGGTTGGTGCACGCGCCCCATGTATGAAGGCTATGGTCTTCCGGGCGGGTGGCCCAGGTTCAAATCCGGCCAGTGGCTCCTTTCCCGCATGTCATTCCCCACTCTTTCTCTCTCCCTGATTTCGGACTCTATCCACTGTCCTATCTCTCAACTAAAGGCACAAAAAGCCCAAAAATAAATCTTAAAAAAGAAAAATACTCATCTTGTGAAGACTTCAGGGAAAATTTCACGTAAGTTCTTCAAATCTGGGATCTGAATTTAGTAAAAAATGCCAAGGGTTCTCCGATTGGTTCTTCTCTGTGATTTTTAAATTAGGGTAGTTTCATGTTTCTTTTTCCCTCAATCATGATGCTTTTGATGTCTTGTGTGAAGCACTTTGATTTGCCTTGTTGTTGAAATGTGCGACATTAATAAACTTGTTTTGCCTTAACCCAGATTTTGCTCCCGCTGCTCTGTCAGCGGCGGCATAAGTATACGTACGAATGCGATTAGTTATTTCTGATGGTCTCTCTACATAGCAACCTGTCATCAGTGTGGGTAGGTGTGACCTGCGGTGTAAAAGCGCTTTGAGTAGTATACAAGCTCAATTCCATTTACATCCATACCATGACACAAACCTGTCTAAAGATTTAGGGGTCATCACACAATGTTAGAATCTGCAGACAGATAGAAAAATCTGAAAGAGCAAATGCAAGTGCAGACTCATTCCAAATCATATTGTATTATCTTAGAAGTTTGTAAACCTGATCACCTGCTGTATTCAGTATTTAAATACCGTACACAAATACCTTATTTCATCACACATTAAAGTTCTATCTTTAGTTTTACCCTTCCTTCTTTTTCAGTTTTGTTGTCCTTGTTTTTAAGCAATCAATTGTTAAACACATTAAGTCTTCAAAACACAATCTGTAGCTCTATTTAAAAAAGAAAGACAGCACAGTCATCTGAGTTACTGCTCACCCTTAGTGTTGTTCTTTATGATGCACAGGGCGGAGCAGACAGCACAAAGAAAGCAGACAGTGAACACATCCTCCATTTCAATGCATAAACATTACTGCACATCTTGATTTCCATTCAGGATAAGAACATATCAGATTTAAGTTAAATGTGATGTATGCTGATAGTGCCAGAGTATTGGTACCAAGTATATGATACTGCCGTATAGCTCAAGATGATCTTTTACAATAGAAGAATGACAAGATGGAAATGATTTGGAAACTTAATACAATTTCTTTTCATTGCACTTCTTTTAGATTTGTGCAATCCCCAAACTTTTAAGGACATGGGGGAATAATCACATTTCTTCTGAACTTTTTTCAGAGCTACACCGTTCTGAACACAGAGGGAAATATATAAAGGAAGGGAGATATATCGACTTAAGAATCTGATAAAAGAACAACATAAAAGAGAGCTAAAAATCCCAAGCAATTACTGTCAACCTGATTTGCTTTGAACCTCAGACTACCTGATCTCCCCTCAAAGCCCCAGACTTATAAATTATACAGCCAAAAAATTATAAAAAAAAAAGTCTTTACAAATTACAAAGCCTCACATCATCTATTCTCTTATCAAAATGTCCTCTCGGGCTGCTACACCACCGTCTTGAAGGCCTGCAGGATCATGTTGGTTTGGTGAGTGAGTCGGTTGGCGCTGACAAACACGTTGATCGCTCTGGAAACAAGTGTGACAGAGACACAAGGACACACGTGTCAATCGTACAGCAAATGGAACCACGGCAATATTTAGGGTTGATCCAGGAAACACTTTGATCTGGTTGCAATGAAGAATGTCAGGCTTCAGAGAATACGAGCCAGCATGAATCCACAGGAAATGGGTCAAGGGAATTATTCAGCATTGGTGGATTTGATAGAAGCGGGCCTGTGATCAAACGACAACCATTTACATACTGGTGACAGCATGTGTGTGTGCGTGTGTGTGAATGGCACGTGCGTGTACAGCTATTAAATGTGTTGCTTGTTGTGTGTGCAATAGTTAATAGAAGAGGCTGAACAAGTGTGTGATGAGACAGAGGAAGAAGAAAAAAAAAGTCCAAAAAGCGAGAATAAACAAGGAACAGTGTCATACTTTCCATCTTTGAAGTACGTTTTGAGAGTGTCACTGAAGCTCTTGGAGTTTTTCACAAACTCTTTCTTCTGCCTTTCCAGTGCCTAACCAATAAACACAGACATCCCTTTGAGCTCCACTCATTTCACAGAAAGGTTTGTACATCTGCAGTTTTACCCCTTCAAGTATCTATTTACCCGTCTGTTCCGATACTGGTATTTCCTGAAGACAGTGTTCACTGTGTCGAGCAGCTCCTTGATGGCACTGGCAATGTCTCTGAGGGTGACAAGCACAAATAGGTCCTTGTTAGGAAAAACAATATCTCTCAATCTGTCTGTTTTTATCAGGCACCGATGCACTCAAGTTACTTGGAATCTTTGATCCTGCTCCTTGTCTCCTTTATCTTCCCTCTTTTTATCCCAACATGCTTCGTCACCTTCATTTTTTTCTCCCTTCCTAAGCACTGGCAATCTACCGTTGCATAACTTGAATTTTTTTTTTAGCATTCCCTTTGAATTGATTTTTTTTTTTCCTAAGCCCTCCGCTTGGTAAGTAACTTAAGCAGTGACTCACTAAGAGTATTGAATTCCATCAAAATAATGGCAAAGTGGGCCAAGAAAAAATGAAACGTCTCTCACTTTCTCTCTTTAATGTGTGGGTATAGTGCAGTGGTAAGGGATATATATACTGGCATGCTGGGAACCTACAGCTGAGTCATCGCTCTCCCATTACATGAGGAAACATCAACATTAAGATCAGCATCTATGAACTTCAGTTGTGCATACTTGTTTTCTTATTCTGACACGTTACAGTGATCTTCAACCAGATGCTCAAAATGCTGTTTTTGAATTATGATTATTGTAATTATTATTAACTTTTCCCTGATATAGCACATCAACCCGTTTTTTGGGGTTTTTTTTTTGGGGGGGGGGGGGTCATCAAACACTTTCAAACGCATGAACATCATCTGCCGGTCTATTGGTGGAGGGAAAGAGTTCAGTGCAAATTAAATCTGTGACAGCGAGAAGTATACTGGGTTATTTCTTTTCACTTTTCTTTTTCTTGTCTGTCTACTGAATTAAATCGTAAAATGACGTTACTATATCATCAGACATTAAGGAAACATTCTGTATTGAAATACTGGCTTCTCTCACAACAACACAGCAGCCAGTATGTCCTCCTTCTGAGTTTCAATTCCGGTCAAGAATGGTCTGTATTTGATTTTTACCAGAGAAGGTAGGCGGTTTTAAGGCACCCCCACACACCTGTTTTGGACGCTACTCAGTTTGCCAAGCAAACTGTAACCCAACAGGTGTTGCAGCAAAGCGGGCAAAGGAATTTGTTCAGATATAACTGATTCTACCCGACCTAAAAAGCCTCGGCATTTTTCGATTTAAGCTCCACGGCCAAAAAGTCGGTAAAACAAGGATAAATATTGGAGTTGCTTTTTAAAAATGGAGACAGATTAAGACTGATGCAGAGCTGGTAAAAATAACAGAAGCTTTCCTGTCCGTGACATGGCAACCTGCGTGCGGATCGACTTTAGGGAGGAGGGGTCAGGGCGAGACAGCGCTCTTTAATGTTTTGAATTTGGACTGCAGTACCCGTTTTAAACACTAGATGTCAAAGTTACACATTTCTCCTTTAATTGCTATCATTATTTTTGCTCATTTATATTGCAAACACAACATTATCCTGCTAAATGAAAATGCTGTTGTAACACAAAAATGGCTTCCTGTGTGTTAGCTTGTGGACCAGAGCTCTTACAGTGTGTTCAGTCAGCACATGAAGCAAATTCTCACCCATTATTCACGTGAATAACACTATTGCGCTGTTTGTGCAGTCGGTGTTTATTCGTCCCAAACCACCAATGTACCAGCTTAACAGACGACCAGAGGAACTATTAAGAGATTTTGGGCTAGTGCTTACTCGTCTAAGTCCCATTATGCTGCATAGAGAAATGTGTATCTCTTTACAGCCACTCGTGTCTTTGGATTGAATATCTACTCAATTCCACCTAATCCACAATTTGTCAAACAATAGTTGCAATAATGGTCTTCATCATAAAGACCTTTGTTCTATACAAAAATATTATATATATATATATATATATATATATATATATATATATATATATAATAAAATTAGAAAAAAATAATCAGCTACAGAGATGTGACCTGGTGTATACTGTGCCAACACACACACACACACACACATATGTACACACATTCACACACTGGGCCGCCTTACTTGATGGTCTGTAGGAAGCCTGCTCTGTCATGGAGCTCATCTGGTAAGGTGCTGAGGATGTGTTTCAGAGATCGGGCTCTCTCGTTTAGCTCCTGGAACTCGGGCTCTGGCCTGTCAATCAGAAACTCTGAAAATACAAAGAGGACAAGAAAAATACAGACGTCAAACTCCTCGGTGACAGGCATGTCAACACACATTCAAAAAGAACTTCAAGGGAGACTGAAATGAAGCAATTAATGACACTGCACTACATTTATTAAAAAAAACACAGTGCACGTGAATTCAGGATCAAATAGAAATGTGTCGAAGCGTGTGCAGGCAGTTTAAAGTGTCAGTGTTTAGCTTGTTGAGTGAAAGCGGGATTAAGGTAGAAGTTGGGCTGTGCCTTGCAGGAGGTACATTTAAAATTCATCCAAATTGTGCGTGTGCATGTGTGAATTCATTACTACCATCAATCACTGTACATGGCACAAGGAATTCAATTACAGGCTGAGAGTGAGGAACATTTTAGAAGTGGAAAGCAGCTGATTTGTGGAGAAACAGCTCCCCCCAGTGGAGAATTAGACTACTGTAGCATTGACTGACGCACCACGAGAAAGCTATGGTGATATTCATCCAGCCTGCTGAGCTGTCCTTTGCATAGAGCAACACATTAAATGTCTACATGTCATATCATAATTTATCCTTCTGTCCTTACCTTTCACATCATCTCCAGCCATGCGAAGTAGACACTCACTGTAGTTGATTCTTAACTTTTTCTTCTCCAGTATTTTCATAACGATATCCTGGGTCAGACCTGGGTTTTCCTGCTCTGCCTGAAACACACACACACACACACACACATACAGCTGCACTGAAAGCAATCAGCGCCTGTCTTGGTCTACTGTAGAGCTAAATTCCATCAATTCTAAAAGATTAATCAGAAGTTCACGGTCTTAAATTATTTATAATGAAAAAAGTTTTTGGCCTTACAGGAAAGATTGCAGTACCATGCCATGAAACATAAAAACAGACAAAATAAAACTTTTTTTTTTACCTTTATGAAAGCAGCTCTCAAGGTCTGTGCAGCTGATAAATTGATGCTCTCCAACTGAAAGTTATAATACACACACAAACACAAGTCAGCAGCACAAAACATCACACACACACACACACACACACCGGCTTTGCTCTTATCACGGCTTCTCCTCTGTCCTGAAATGTAATTCTGCAGAGAGTACATACAAGCCAGGCTTCCTGCAATATCGAAAGAGGACTTTGTGTTATTGTGCTGTGAAAAGCTGTGTTAAGTCTGCCCATCTGTATTCTCCATCTAAACTTGAAGAGAATTGAAGACTATTCCAATCCTCTGAGCTGATATTGTGGTATTACAACCAGAACAAATAAACAGGTTTTCAATGTCTATCTGTTCCCAATATACTCTTTATTGTATAATAGGGTGACAATAAAGTGCCTTTTAATTATTACTTATGTATCAAGCATCACTAAGAGAATGTGAAATACTAAAACAAAACAAAAATGAAACACTTAAAAACAGTCGAAGCAATCCGGTGTGAGATGAGCCAACGAGTGGCACTAGTCGTAAGTTTGGCATTTAAACTTTTAATGCGAGTGTAATCTCTGTTGGAGCGTGGATGGACAGGAAATGAGTGGAGAGAGAGAGAGAGAGAGAGAGAGAGAGAGAGAGAGAGAGAGAGAGAGAGAGAGAGAGAGAGAGAGAGAGACAGACAGACAGAGAGAGAGAGAGAGGAGAGAGAGACAGAGACAGAGAGAGAGAGAGAGAGGAGAGAGAGACAGAGACAGAGAGAGAGAGAGAGAGGGAGAGAGAGACAGAGACAGAGAGAGAGAGAGAGAGAGAGAGAGAGAGAGGAATGATGTGATTACATGGTCAGCAGCACAAACTCATGAGCCACCAGGGCACCTGTAAAAAAAAGTTTCCAAAAGTTGTCAAATCTGAAGTGCTTTCCCGATACTTCACAATCTATCTGTCCTCCATGGAACCATATGAGAAGGCTTGCCCTACAAGTATCTGTGTACGTTACCCTTCACATGAAGAAAAGAGATTAAGCGTTTTAATTGCTTAAGTAAAGTTCTATGTTATTCGTTGATAAATGGCCCAATTATTTTGTTCTTGTTCGGTATGTGCTGCCACATTTTTTGTTCCACATTGATTTTCTTCCCCTTGCCTCCTTTGATTTAAAATGTTCCCCTTTGAAACCTCTTGCGTTGTGTATTTCATAATTTTCAGTTTTGGGTTCTTAACATTTATATGTGTGTGTTTTTTTTCTCCTGCAGGAATGAGTCCCTAAGCCAGGAAATAAGCAAACATTTTTGCAATTCCTGCTGCCCTGTCTCGAAGTCCAAAAGGTTTATTGGATGATTTTGTTGGTTAGATTCCTGAAGTAGAGCACACGCTACAGAGTCAAACTTTTCTGTTGACAACATTAGATGTTATACCCCTGGTTTTTTTAAGCTTTTACTTTATACAGAGTGTGCTATCAAGTGGTTATAAGAGACAACTGAGGTCTAAA